GACTCCGACGACGGCTTGTGTGCTGCTTGGTGTCCAGCACAGTTGTGCGGTTTACTGGACGAGCTAATGAGACTGCGCCGCGGCCGACCTGACGAACTAACACCGAATGAACCGCATTACAGGAGAAAAACAACAAAACCAACAAAGAGAACGTGTCCCCTCGTCCGAAAGCTTCCCGCCCTGGCCCGAGTGCCGCCGGTCCCCGCTCCCGTATGTCCAAATCCGTCTCTGAGAAGGACCTCAGCCGCTGGAAAGCCGACCTGACCATCAGCGAAAAGTCGGGCAAAATCAAGGAGATTATCGAGCTGCTGGAGCGTCAGGCGCGCGCGCAGATTCTGCGGGCCTCCGACCCGGCTGGTAAATCACGCGCCCCGCTCGGTGACGGCTGGCGCCCTGCGCGGCGCCAGACCCGGCGCGCGCCCCTGGTGACGGCTCTTACTCGGTCTGACCCTGCTTCAGTCAGCGCTGCCCTGTGCCCAGGCTCCTTCGACTTTGGTGTAGTGCCACAGCACAGTCTGTCACGATCACCTGTCATCTGTCTGTCACGGAAAGTGGTGGCGGATGATGATTCATTCCGCTCCGCCTTCAGCTCGTGCTGGATAAGGACTTCATATTCAAGGTTGATTTTTGTGATGTGTCGCAACGTATATATCATTTAGGGAAATTTGAGTGGAGCAAAGGAACGATTTTAGGAATGTCAGCTGAATTGCGCTTCGTCAAGCAACTACAAAGCACCATATCGTCTCTTCTTGTTTCTCCTGAGCGCGAATAACCATCTTGGTCTTCGATGTTCAACCCAGCTGTCCAAGGGCTTAGCGGACTACAGCCACGCTTCTTCCATCTCCTGCTCTTCATGAAAATTCGCTTTTTCCCCTCGGCGCCGTCTGGCGCGCACACTCGCCTTCCGCACGCACACGGGCGTGGACAGCGAGCCGTCGGCACACACCCGCGAGCTCGCCACGTGCACCGGCTGACCGCGTGACCCGTCTGTGACCTGACCTGACCCGTGGTGCGTAGGACACCTCTGAGGACAGTGGCGTGACTTCTGCTGACTCTTCTGACGAACCAGCTGACACAGGGGACGACGACCTTGACAGCGACGACCGCCGACCGCAGGTGCGAGCCCGAGCACCCCGCGCGCTTCACTGCTCACGACAGGCGGCATGGGTGCTGGATGGGACTTCGCACAACCGTTGGATGGGAACGCTCCAAGAACGCTAGTGTTACAAGTCATGTTCGTTCGGTTCTGTCTTTCAATGAGCTGCCGCTAATTGCAGACGCTATGGGCCATGGCGCTTGCATAATATATGTATATATACATATATATATATATATATATATATATATATATATATATATATATATATATGTGTATATATATATATATATATAAGCAGTATTCTAATTTGTCTGATTAAGATTACACCTTATATCTAGTGAACGATCGCATTATGCACAGCAATCAGTGGATGACCGTCAGAACACATCTGCCCCCGATTGATTGATCCAGATCGCTGTTTTTTGTCGTCTGTCGCCCGCACAGCGTTGCACGTATGACTCATGTTTCAGGAACGACTAAACGATGCGAACAAACCAGCGTCCAAGTTTCAGCAGATCCAGCAGATGTGGACTGAGCAGGTAATACAGCTGGCCGTCTGACACCGCACGTCACTGCCGGCACGGAAACTCCTGACTCACAGAGCGTCGTCAAACTCCTGACTTACGGAGCGTCGTCAAACTCCTGACCGACGGAGTGTCGTCGTACAAACTCCTGACTCACGGAGCGTCGTCAAACTCCTGACTTACGGAGCGTTCTCACACAAATCCGTGACTCACAGGGCGTCGTCACACAAATCCCCGACTCACGGAGTGTCGTCACACAAACTCACAAACTCCTGATCTACGGAGTGCCGTCCGTGCGGGCGCCGCCACGGTGCCGTTAAGAGCGGCCTGCCCCCGGTCAACGACCGGGGAGTTGGCAGAGTTCTCGCCGTTCTCAGCCTTCGAGTCGTGTTCAGCGTGTTCTGTCCTGATGCGCGCCATGTAGTTGGGCCCGCGTGACCCGCGTGAGCTCACAGTGGTCGACCCTGGTCACTGTTCTGTGACCCCACATGACCTGTGTCCATCCTCAGGAGCCTACCGGCCGGAACCCACCGGCGGCCGACTCTGACCTCGCCTGACCTGCGTCCATCCCCAGGAGCCCACCGGCGGCCGACTTTGACCCGACCTATATCCATATTCAGGAGTCGACCGGCCGGAGTCCACCGGCGGCCGACTCTGACCTCACCTGACCTGCGTCCACTCCCAGGAGCTGACCGGCCGGAGTCCACCAGCGGCCGACTCTGACCTCACCTGAACTGCGTCCATTCCCGGGAGCCCATCGGCCGGAGTCCACCGGCGGCCGACTCTGGCTCGACCTGAATCTATCCTCAGGACCCGACTGGCTTGAGTCCACCGGCGGCCGACTCTGACCCAACCTGTGTCCACCCTCAGGAGCCGACCGGCCGGAGTCCACCGGCGGCCGACTCGGGCTATCAGTCGATGCCGCTAAAGTCGTGGAACGGCCTGCCGAGCGCGCCGGAGCAGCTGGGCGGCCACCGTCCGGTCACAGTCACCCCGGCCCGCCCCGAGCCCACCCACAAGGCAGAGGTGGAGGTCAGTCGCCGCGTTCTGGTGCTGGCTGGCCGCCTGCCCCGGCAGACGAGGCTCTGGAGTGACGGGCGGCGCCGGAATGTTGTGGTGTAGTCAGCGGGTGAAACCGCTGCGCGGCGTCATGGTTTGGCGTGGAGTGGAACCGGCCTTCAGAGTGGATGGCCGTTGATTGCTTAGTCGTTGATTGCCTAACCGTTAATTGCCTAGCCGTTAATTGCTTGGCCGTCATTGTCATCCACTAGACTTTGTTTGCGTAACACGAGGCCACAAAAGCTAGTCGCGTGGCCGACTTAATTTGCCTGGAATGCATGCTAATTGCTATCATATATTTTCTCTCATCCTCCATTCTCCATTTCTTCCTCACCTAGGTTCGTGCGTTCATAATTTGGGAGAACAATTTTGGGTATTAAGCGGGGTGTGAAGGCTGCTTGGTGTGTTACAAGGTTCGTTGGCTGCAACGCTTACTGAACTAAGGCCGATGTCATCACTGTAAACGAGCAAAAACATGTTCCCATGTCGCGGTTTTTCTTCACAAGCCATGCAATTGGCAGAGACTGTGGCGCCCTCTTTTCTAGCTCCGTAAGCGGTACGCAGAACAGGCCGAAGAGATCAAGCAGCTGAAGAACATGCTAAACATCAAGGAGCAGCGGATCAGGGAGCTGGAGGACCAGCTAGACAACGTCCTGAAAACACAGAACGAATCTACAGCGTGAGCCGCGCCCATTTCGTGATATGTCCGCCTAGAAATGAGTTGTGGGCCGCGCGTCAGCCAGCTGATGGCCCACAGGCTTCGCGTGCCACGTGGTTTGGCACCGGTCGGGCCAGGTCCCCCACCTGGGGGAGTGCCAGTGGGACGTGCTGATGAACAGCGAGAGGTCACCACTGTTCGAGGTTCTGGCGAAGGCTGCCAGAGACAGACAGCAGTGCGTCGGTGCGATCGCTTCTTGCGCTTGAGCGGCCGCTTAAGCGTAAGGAAGGTGGTCCTTGATGCCACCTCGCTGCGCAAGCAATGTGCAACAGCTCGCCACCGGTTGTAGACGGTGGCACGGAGTTACGGTTTCGTTTTTTATAGAAGCGGCATGCGTGCATATGTGTGCGCTGTGATGGCGCGTTTCCGTCAACATCTCAAAAGATGAACACGAAATGCCAGCTTACGACCGGCTTCCCATTGCATTCATGCTCTGGGTTTCACCGGTTGGAGACGGTGTCGTATGGGCGAGGACAGAGGACAGGACGGCACAGACCGCGGTGCGTACCTCCGGCGAGAGAAGTGGGGCGCCAGGAACACGCGCCATCGCTTCGGTCCGCAGCGATGCGGTGTTTTGAGAGGAGAGGGCGGTACGGCCGGTACGACTCACGGCTGTCGCGGTACCCCCTGCGCGGTCGCGGACGCGGCGTGGATGAGAGGAATAATTTATTTAAACAGAAGGCGCTATCAGCTGCTGTGATATCTTTTAGGTGCTGGTGTTTCTGAAATTTGAAGGCGCTCCAGAAAATACCGTATAAGCAGAACATGGATGCCTTGCCTCTGCGGCAGCACGTGAAAAGCGTTTTTACGTTTAAGCCTCCGTCGCTCCTGTTGCTGTATGAACGTTTCTGTATTATGTCAGTGACGTGACCTGTGTAGCCACTAAGCGAATCGCATGGGGGCCAACACCATACCGCGAAAACCTGTCAGGTGGGTCGAGAGGATTTTTGGCGAACAATATTACATGCCCTTTCAATCCTCAAAATGGGGCACGTTGTCGTGAACTATGCCCTATGTACTCGGTGCACGTCCGGGATAACATGGCCATACAGTGGGCCCGTATACTCGAGGTCATGTCGCGGCCTTACCATTGCTGCCTGTATTGAGTGGATGTCAATGTGGAGGTGTGAGCGCATGTTCGGCGCAGCGGCGAACGGCGCAGGCGACGCACAGGGCCGATGGGCACGCAGGCGTGCTCGTCGCAGCGAGTGACGAGCGTCCTGTGACGTCATACCATCGTGTGACGAGCGTGTACAATATATTAATCCCGCTGGCGTACTGGGCTACTGACGGCGGGATGTCGCGGAGCGGCGCTGCAACGCTTGGCTACAGCTGCGAGGGTACATGCTCTGACCACGGCGTCGGCTGTTCAGGTGCCTCACACTACAAACGTAGGAGATCTTCTGGCTGATGATACTGGCAGCTGAATGTGCTGCGACACAATCATAACGTTGCTGTGAGAGGGCGACGCCGCTCATCGAATGGCAGGTACGCCATTCAGGCAGTTAAAGAGTTTTACTTCCATGCACTTGCTTGAGAACTTGGCCAAGTCACACATTCCCAACGTTTGCATTTGACGAGTGTCATGACACGCAGAAGACATATTTGATACCTATATTGACCAGCGATGTAGTACATTCACGCACACGGCAACACGTATTGCAGGCATATTTTAGCTTGAGACTGGGTACTGTTTGTCGAAATCCGCGGGGACAGGCGTGCCGGTTTCTTTAGCCAGATACAGCATTTGTTCTGAAACAGACATAATAGTGTCAACTCCAAAACTCTTCCTCCACTGCCCACTGCAGAAACATACATCACTCTTCGAAAGAGGTAAGTTCCATAACATCTCACAACAAGAAATGCTAACAACACCTGCAACATTGGCTCTAAAGGTAATTAGTTACAGGTTTCCCACCAGCAGCAAATATCCCTATGACAAATGCCACCAGCACTTGCATACCATCACTACCACCAGCCAGCTGGCATCAAGGCAGTGCGGTGGCAGGAACATACCCCTGTTCTGTACGGCGCGCTCCTTGGCCAGCTGGGCGTCGCGGACGACCTTCTGCTTGGCCTCGATCTCGCGCAGCTCCACCTCGCGCTTTGACAGCGTGTTGTAGTGCTTGGACCCGTACAGGACACCTACCAGCAGTGCCGACCACCGGCCAGCCTGCAGGGGAAAGTGATCTGTCATTACTGTTGCTCCTGCTGTTGCTGTCCATGATCAGTACTGCTGCTCCTGCTGTTGCTGTCCACAATCAGTACTGTTGCTCTTACCACAACCTGATTGATATTAGCATAAGACAGGAGAGGGAGGAACAATGGGTGGGACAGCATAATGGAAAAGTAGCTGTTACCTTCAGCTCCTATATGTGGACTTCTGGGTAAACCACAGGCTTTAAAGGGAGTCTTCACATTTGAATAGCATTTTTTAACTAAAAAAAGCCATATTATACACCACCTGGTGCAGTTCACAGCCCTATCATCGCTATGACCTAAACCCCTCTAATTTTAGAGCTACATGCCCAAGAGCATATGCTAATCATTTTTTGCAGACTATTTCAATGTCATCAAGGTTTTTTCATTGACCATTAGTGATCAGGACCCATAAAAAGACAACTATTGAATTGTTTGCATCTGACACTCATGAGCACCATTTGCAGACATAACAACCATCAATTACCTCTTGACCTATACTGTAAAAGGTATTATTAGGCAATCAAACAGTGACATATTGAATGACATATTTAGTGAATGGACAAACTGTGTTGTAAAGAGCAGTCTTCTCTACTTAAAAGTACACCAGCTGGTATTGATGGGCTTATTTCATCAAAACTGATGGTTGCTTTAACATCCTAAATTTTGGAGCATTCCTTTACCTTTCTTTAACCACTAAATATGGCCACTACATACACTGTAATTGAGACATGCACTGATTAAAATATGCAGACTATTGTATGCAGCTAAGCAGTAAATTGACCTTAAATTCAACATATTTTGCCAACACTGGATGTACATGTCACAGCGCACGATAGGTAGGAACAACCATAACTTCATAAATGTCAAATACCTCAGCAGAAAAATTAGCATGCACACCAGCAGAATAACATTTTCACTATATTCAAGATATCAAACCCCCAATGAGCCCATACATGTCGCACACTGAAAACATAACGCAAGAGAACAAGACACCTCCGGGACGCGGCAAAGCTGACGCACAAACCATGCAGGATGGAACAGCTCTGCTTACCATAACGACCCCACGAGTTACCTTGATCAATGGTGACACTCGTACTGGGGCTTGGGAAGCCATCGCGTTCCGCGGGTATGCAATTCACCCGATTCCTGCAAAATAATTAACGGAGCCACCAGCGCCGGGAACGAACAGCACGGGGGAAGAAAATTTGGGCTGCTGTAGGCAAATAAGTATTTACATAAATTTTCAGAGATTGGTTTGGTAAATCTGTTGAATTTGTTTACAAAAATTAGTTAACTGACTTAAAAATTATAATAAAATTTCCGCCAGTTACCATTTTTTCTAACCAATCAAGTGACTTTCATAAAGATTCGATCAAAATATTATATAATTTCTTGTTATGCTGTCATGGCTCAAGAAAACATTTTATACAGTTATGGCGGAGCTGCTTCATTCTGATACATTCGGGACCAAACGCCGACCAACGCTTGTCCGTCCCGCGCGCTAGCATGGTGTGCAGCGTGGATTGATCGCGAGGGGCGGTGCTAAGGTTTTATTTTCGGATTCGACGGCTGAAGGTAAGGGGGCCGAGTTAATCGTTGAGTGTGGCTCTGTAGCCAATTCATTTAGTCTTATTTCATTAACCTAAAACTACCTGCTGATGTCTTGATGGCTGAATGCCTATGGCATTGCCTGATGGCACGTCCATCAGTTGCGTTTCTTGTTTTTGGACATTTTTCAACACTCCATTCCCTACGCTGTTTAAATCATTTTGACCCAGAAAGCAACGCCTGTTTGGGTTCTAATTGAGTTAGAGATATGACTCGAATGATGTGCTTGTTTCTTGTTAGAGGAATCCGGTTCAGTGATGTGTGCAATGCTTGCAAGTATCCCACCATTTTGGCCTTAAGGGATCTTCCATAAATGACATGCATATTTGTCATTTTTGAACTTACTCTCCCTCCCTGGTTACATGCTGGTTATGCTGTCAAAAGCCCACCTTTGCTGTTTATGTCGTGTCTCACATATTTTCCTTAAAGAGACCATGTTGGGTTGGCATAATTGAGCTAGAGACATGAACTGATGATTGGTGTGTAGCTTACCATGATAAGAAGACAGACAGTTTTAGACTCTTATTGTGTGAAAGATAAGGAAAGATATCAGAACATGGTTGACAGTACACCTAAATGAAATCTTGCACTATTCAGGCTCCCTCTTCTTCCTCCTACTGTCACACTTTGGTTACACTCTGTCAAAAAACCCTCTCCTCTCCATATAGAATGCAATGTATGCATGGATCCAAAGGCCAGGTTTTCCCTAAGGCAGAGGCTAGTGCTGTTATGTATTTTTTGCTGAATTTTATTTCCAGTCAAGTATTCAGTATCCTTGGAAATTTTGGGTTGGTTCAAGCATGGCCAAAAGATACCAAAGCATTGTCCAGTGATATATATATATATATATATATATATATATATATATATCCACAGTCATGATTGTCAATAATGTTTGGTGCAATGTGGCATTAATTGCTCTATAATTGTGGGTTACAAAAAAACACTGCTTCAAGTACCCTGTCTGAAGCCATTTATGTGTGTATGCTGAGGTTACAATTATCATTCAAGTATGTTTTGCAGGCTGTCTCATCTTGCATCTCATCTTCCAATAATAAGGTTATTGATTTCCAGGTGCTAAGCAGCCATGACTTGTGATGCTTGGTTTTTGTCTGTTCAATATCCATTGCTAACCACTTGCCCCAACAGGCCCTTCTCATCAGACATGTGTGCAGCAGTGTCAGCCCAGGAGATGCTGCAGGCTGCTATTCAAACAAAGGTGGTCCCAAATCAGGTACATATGTTGGTTATTTTTTTAGTTATTTTTGCACACACAGGAACAGCACAGTAATCCAGGTGTCCTTGTGAGATCCAGCATTATGTTTTATTTGGGTGATGTTCCATGTGGATTTATTTCTGCAGGAAATAGTTCATTCGTAAGCAATAAGGTACTGTTGGGGATGATAAGTGTAATCCATTATACACCTGTAGAATATCACTGCATGATGAGCTGATGCTTATTTGTTCTATGGATTTAACGTGACATGAAGGGAGTGATGTCACCTATGCCATGCTCCGAGTTGTAGTGTGTTTTTATGTTTGTGCAATGCAAATGCAAAAGTTGTTTTATGCTGTTACGAAATCTGCCCAACTTGTAAATTCAAAAGGATTGATTCAAATTTGAGGCTTGGTATGGTTTATTTTCATACAATCTTTGTGTACACTCTGGAAAAATCCAGCGCATGTTGATCCACAGACAAATTGTCAATATTCCAGGAGTACCTGCTGCAGGGTAGTGTTCTAGACAGAGCGCCAAAGATGTGCTGATCCACCGCCTGCGCGGTCTAGCCGACAACGTGGACGAGCAGGTGGAGACGTTCCACGACCGCGAGAGGTGCTCACCCTGGGCCCAGGTCAGTCGCCCTCCAGGCGTGCGGCAAACTGGGCCAGCTCGCGATGTACGGCTGCCCTTCAGCGTGCTTGACACATCACTGCACATCGCTGTCATCTTGCGAGAGGGACCAGGCTTGTTTGCAGCTTCGCTCTCAATGTCCGGTGTGAGTTCTCATACTTGGTGGTAGAGTGGGCGGTGGTGGTATAGTGGTTAGAACGCTTGACTATGAACCGGTTAGTCTTGGATTCCAGCCCCGGCCACGCCATCACCGCATCCCACGTGAAGCCTGGGTGAAGGCATCCGTCTCGAATGGCCGTGGAAGTTGGTGAGACATAATGCCCGCAATCATTATTATCTCACACTTCGACCTAGCCTGATGTGATCTCTCTCAATGTGACCACGTCTTCACCCAACTTCCCCCCCACCCCCTAATCAATATAAAGTAGCCTGACACCTCCGAGGCCTCGGACCCCCCGCTTTGCTCGCCGTTCGGTGACTTGCCGCGGTGATCCGTGCACGGGTGACGGCGGCGTCGGCGCGCGCTGGCTGACCCGTCCGGCCGGGGCTCCACAGCGGGCGGTCAGTCGCTGACGCTGTACGTCAGGCAGGCCGTCGACCATCCGGACGTGCCTTGGACCATGCGCTACATCGGCCAGCCCGAAGTGGGTGAGTGGATGCGCGACCCGTGAGCAACGCGAGACCGCCCGCGACTGGGGCGGGCGACTTGACAGTTGCCGGTGGAGATGTGCTGTGCAAATCGTGGGGAGTCTGTAGAGCGTTCTTTTGATGCTGATGCCGACCTAATTTCACTGCTTAGAGCTTCACTTCTTACGCTTTTGCCGCTTGGGCTTGCTGCTCACCTTGTCTGTTTAGTTTTTACTTAGCTGCTGAATATTCTCCCCACCGTTGAAAACTGCAAAAAATGTTTAAAAGAATGTTGAAATGTGTGAGCAAATCCACATTGGCCACCGTTAAACAGCATGACGGCGGCGTGGTTGGCGCATTTATGAAATTTTGCAATGCGTTGCTTGCATTTGGCGTTATTCGCAGTGGTTGATGGATCGCGGGTTGTTCCCAGGTGACAAGAGCCGCCCGACCGTGCTGCGAAACAGCATCGATGTTGGCTGCACCCCGAACGTGCTGGAGTTCCTCTCGGAGATGGGCTTCAAGCAGGAGTACGAGTACATGAGCAAAGGCTTCATGTTTCGCAAGGGACGTATGAAGATTCTGGTCTACAAGATATACAAAGTGAGCACTGTTGTTATGTTCCGCGCTAACTGGCGGCGCCGCTGCCGCCCAGGCGCCGGACCGACCGTCGCCGCGTGGCCCAGTCCTGATCCCCGGCCGTATGGGGTGGCCACGAGCCCGGGTAGGCGCCGGCAGGAGCTCGGGCGCGCGGGACATCGGGCCACGTGCCCCCCTCCGCCCCCCCCCCCCCCTGTAGGGCCCGAGAAGCAATCGGGGCCTGCGATCATGTGCCGGTTGGAGGGCGCGAAGGCCTGGTTGGGGTTGTGCTAAGGGATTGCGGCTGTAGGGTGCGGTCCTCGCGTGTCAGTCAGTGAACCCCTGCCCTGCCACCTCAGAGAGGCCAGAGGGCAGGCGTCAGCAATACTGAACAGGCCGGTCTGTGTCACGTGTGTCCTGGGGTTCCGGTTCCCAAGCGGGGTCCGCAGGGTCCCGAGCTGGCCCGCGAACGCTGCTGAAGGCCTCTGCATTAGTGGGGGAGGGAGCGGGGGAAGAGAAACACAGGGCCCATGACGTCTAAGGGAAGAGATGTACCGGCAAGGGACCCCGAGTGGACCAGCGTACATTCGCTGAACATGGACAGGAAGGGGTCCCGGAACTCAGACGGCCTGTGTTATGGTAGGACCCGTTTGCAATGGAAGGAAACATAAGAAGTGTAGATGACAGGGTCGACATTAATGCCGAGGTAGCTGAGGGACCCCTGTGTCAGCCGGTGATCTCAGCACTGTTTTGCCTACCCTTGAAGGAGCCACGCTCTGACCGGCATCTGAAGTGCTCGGAGCGGATCTGCGTTGTCACCGTGTGCAATATCTGCTTCAGCCGTGCTATCAGTGTCGACTTATTCCTGGCTGCGACCGCGGCCGGCTTTGTTTCGTGTTAGCCGTGCAATCACAGCTGTTTGTCAGCCGTGCTCGACGCGTTGTTGACAGAACACGAATGGCTGTGTACGCGCTCGATGGCCTGTGTTTACGTCTCATCTCGCACGGTCAGCGGCTGTTTCCCCGCAGCGAGTTCTTGTCTCGGTCAAACGCGGCCACCGCCAGGCGTCCACCCGCCGCCATGCTGCATGTGATCCGATTAAGGGGAGTGCGCGGCGTGTTTTTTTTCCACGACGTGACGTGCAGTGCCGCGATGTGCGCACGTTGGCGGCAGGGCGAGTGGGACGAAGGCGGCAGAGCTTGGGACGATGGCAGCAGGGCGGAGTGGACGATGGCAGAGCAGTGGGACGATGGCGGCAGGGCGGAGTGGGACGATGGCGGCTGAGCAGTGTGGGACGATGGCGGCAGGGCGGAGTGGGACGATGGCAGGGGGCAGAGTGGGACGATGGCAGCAGGGCGGAGTGGGGCGATGGCGGCAGAGCAGTGTGGGACGATGGCAGCAGGGGGAGTGGGACGATGGCGGCAGAGCAGTGTGGGACGATGACAGCAGGGCGGAGTGGGACGATGGCGGCACGGCGGAGTGGGACGGTGGCAGCGGGTAGAGTGGGACGATGCGGCAGGGCAGAGTGGGACGATGGCGGCAGGGCGGAGTGGGACGATGGCGGCAGGGTAGTATGGGACGATGGCAGCAGGGCGGAGTGGGGCGATGGCGGCAGAGCAGTGTGGGACGATGGCAGCAGGGCGGAGTGGGACGATGGCAGCACGGCGGAGTGGGACGATGGCAGCGGGGCAGAGTGGGACGATGGAGGCAGGGCAGAGTGGGACGATGGGGACGATGGCGGCAGGGCAGAGTGGGACGATGGCGCAGGGCGGAGTGGGACGATGGCGGCAGGCAGTGTGGGACGATGGCAGCAGGGCGGAGTGGGACGATGGCGGCAGAGCAGTGTGGGACGATGGCAGCAGGCGGAGTGGGACGATGGCGGCAGCGGAGTGGGACGATGGCGGCAGGGCGGAGTGGGACGATGGCGGCAGGGCAGGGTGGGACGATGGCGGCAGGGCGGAGTGGGACGTGGCGGCGGGGCAGAGTGGGACGATGGCAGCAGGCGGAGTGGGGCGATGGCGGGCAGGCCGGAGTGGGACGATGGCGGCGGGCAGAGTGGGACGATGGCGGCAGGGCAGAGTGGGACGATGGCAGCAGGGCGGAGTGGGACGATGGCGGCAGAGCAGTGTGGGACGATGGCAGCAGGGCGGAGTGGGACGATGGCGGCAGGGCAGAGTGGGACGATGGCCGGCGATCAGCCCGCTCCCGTCCCAAATGGCGGCCCCGTGAACAGATCGTGACGCGCACGTGATGCGCCACAAAGCCACGGCTGTGGCTGTGTTCACAAATAAAGGATTAGGGTGGCAAATTCTGTACTGTCACCTCTCGGATTTCACTGAAATTTGGTCTCCGCGCAGTTATCTAAGGCGTAGAGCTCTACCACAATTTTTATACCTATTCGGCGTACAGCTTAGGTTGAGAAATTCAACACCAGGAAGTTTTTAGAAGATCCCAACCATATTTGTTCAGGCCACTATTTAGTCGTATGACTGGATTCGAAACCTATCAAAGAATTACTTCTATGTCCCGAATCTGTGTGCAACTCAAAATCAGCGACACTTGGCCCGACACAAGTTTGACACTATGAATGTTTGCGTTATATCCTGTTCGCCGTATCATCACGAACTTAACGCATGCGAAATTCCTCCAACGAACGATTGTTATGCAAACCATACGCCCATACTGTTGTCTGCATTTCGTGCTGGGTCACGGCGCTGACACTACGCGTCGGTTCCGCAGAACAGTCGTCGGGAGAGCTGGGAGCCGGTCGGTATGTCGCACCTGGTCGAGCTGAGCGTGCTGGCGCCGCAGGGCCACGACGCGTCCGCAGAGGATGTTGCGCAACTTCGCGAGCAGCTCAAGCCGCTGGTGCAGCTGGAGAAGACCGACTACCACCGCCGGCTGTGAGCGGCCCGGCGGCGGGTTTGTGGCCAGCGAGCTCTGGCTGTGGGCTGCCTGACCGCCGCCGATGGTCGTCCGCAGCGCTGTGGTCCTGTCGGACCGCTGCCGATGGTCGTCCGCAGCCGCTGTGGTCTGTCGGAGACCGCTGCCGATGGGTCGTCCGCAGCCGGCTGTGGTCTGTCGGACCGCGTGCCGATGGTCGTCCGCAGCCGGCTGTGGGTCTGCCTGACCGCTGCCGATGGTTCATCCTTGCCGGCTGTGGGTCTGTCGGGACCGCTGCCGATGGTCATCCATTTGCCGGCTGTGGGTCTGTCGGACCGCTGCCGATGGTCGTGCCGCACCGGCTGTGGTCTGTCGGACCGCGTGCCGAGTTGTCAGCCGCAGCCGGCTGTGGTCTTATTGGACTGCTTGCCGATGGTCGTCCACACCGGCTGTGGGTCTATTGGACTGCTGCCGATGGTGGGCCGTGACCTGTCCTCCGGTGGTTCTGACCCGCTTCGGCGCGTGGCGACCCTTCCGCCGCTGCGTCTTAGCGCGAGGATGGACCAGCGGGGCTCCGCCAGCGACCCTGAGCCCTGGGGCGCATCGCCGTGCAGACCGCCACAGTCTGTGACACGCGCGACGGAAGATGGCGTATCTATGGCGGGGGCCAGGACCGTGTGAGGGCGTGCGTTGTCGGCGCGGGGAGGGTTCGGTCCGGCGTGGCGCGGCCTGGAATTGTGTCAGCTACGTTCTCATCACATCATTGTAAATACAGTTCAAGGTCGGCTCATTCGTCATCGCTGTTTTTTTCACCTTGTGAGCACACGGAGTTGTCATGGTGCAATTGCCATTGTTTTACATACGATCGAAGCTGATGCCAGTTGATCGTTGCGGTATTGTAACTGAGTCCTACGGATTCTTGCAATAAAGGCAGTCTGTGTTGCGATACACTGAAGTTTATCCTCACAAGTTTCCAGCAGATTAGACCACCGACGTGGTTAAAAACATGAGAGCATTCCGGAGAAGTCGGTGAGCATTTTGCGTATCTCAACGAACACAGTCGAAAATACATGGGCAAGCGTGCGTTGGTGCACTGTACACTTAATCACGCAGCCAGCGTTGACATCTCACGCCATAGCCTGTCGCGCCAACTGAGGTATGTATAGACAAAGGTACCCGTAAAGGCATTATATCTTCCTCGATCGTCGCGCAGCGTCGCAATGCCTCACTTCGTTAACGTTGTCTTCGTCTCGAAGGTCCTGCTTTTTTCACCTTCCAACTCCGATCCCAATTGCCCGTTACCCAAACACCCGACCGCTGTCACATTCTGACGGGTTCATCCCATGCTCTGTAGTGAGCCGCGCGTCCGCGCGCCACCTCAGACCTGGGACTAGAATCGGTGCCGCCGGCTGTTGGAGGGATTCGTCAATTTTGGACAAGCGAGGCGTTCCGCGTGCAGGAAGTCAGCTGTGGTTATTCAAATTCCTTCTTGGTGAAACAGGGTCACGGAGTTATTTCATGATGGGTTGCAATGACCTCTGAAATTCTGCGATCGCGAGGTTTGATTCGGGCTTGATGGAAAACTAACCAAGTGTCCTGCACAGCTGCGGTGCGCAACTGCGCGATCGCGACGCTACGTGTACACAATCGCCGTGGACCAGCTGCGGCAAATTCTTCAGTTAACTCCAAGCCATAACTTTGTGCACCACTCTACCCCGCCCTCTCCGCCGACATTCCACGTAAGTGAAGCGTCGGCGAAGAGGTGTCGTCTAAATTGCTGCTCCGTCTGACGTCTACTGCGACGTCTTTGCATCCCGACACCTTCCAACCGAGGGGCGCTGGGACGGCGGTCCTCCGGCCCGGCGTCGCTACAGCTCGTTGGTCTCAGCCGACTGGACGCCGCTCATCTTGATCACCCAGGCCCAGCGGGCCGACACCTGCGCCAGGTCGGGGAACTTCACGTGTGCCGGCGCGCCGGGCGTCTGCCCCCACTTGAGCGGCTCGTCGTAGCCCAGCATGAACACCTTGCTGTCGGTGCCGAGCGTCACACTACCCAGCTGGACAACATCGTCGTCCGGCCAGTCCAGCACGATGGCGTAGACGCTGCCGTCGCGCTGCGTGTACCACACGCCGGGCGTGGTGCTGTCGTTCTGGTGCGTCCACGGACGCGACGCGTAGATGGCCTCGCCGCTGATGTTGAGCCACTGACCCATCTGGCGGAGCCGCTCCTCGAAGATGGGCACGATGCGGCCGTCGTGCGTGGGGCCCACGTTGAGGAGCAGGTTGCCGCCGCAGCTGACCGTCTCGGCGAGCTCCTTAGTCAGGTCGTCCATGGTGAGGTAGTCGGACAGCACCGCCTCGCGCCGGTAGCCCCAGGAGTAGCGGTCGACCGTCATGCAGTTCTCCCACTTGTGCTTCTGCAGCACGCCCGGGTTGTAGCGGTCGTGGCAGGTGAAGAAGTCGCCGTGAGCACAGCCGCAGTCCGTGCCCCAGCGGTCGTTGGTGACGACGCGGTCGCGGATCGGCGAGTCGTTGTAGAGCCAGGCGAGGAACTGCTTGCTGCCCCAGTAGTCGGAACTGGGCGCCTGGCTGCTGCCGTCCGACCAGATCACGTCCGGCTCGTAGCCATACACCAGCTCGTACAGCTCCGGGATGGACTTGGCCGCTGGGAACGTGACCTGCGTGAAGTTGCTCGCCTTGTCCGCCAGCCAGATCGGGTTGAAGAACTCGAACAGCGAGTGGTAGACGCCGAAGCGGATGTCGGTGCGGTTCCGCACGGCGCGCGCCAGGTCACCCACCAGGTCACGCTTCGGCCCCGTGTCGACGGCGTTCCAGTTCCAGGCGTACTTGCTCGGCCACAGTGTGAAGCCCTCGTGGTGCTTGGTCGTGAGCACCATAGCGCGCGCCGGCGGCGGCGAACAGGTCCGCCCACCGGTCCGGCTCGAAGAACTCGGCCGTGAACTGCGGCGCGAAGTCGGCGTACGTGAAGTTGGGCCGATAGTTGCGCTCCATGAACTCGACGTACTTTTTGTCGTGCTCGCCGCGCCAGAACTCCCAGAACCACTCGTCGCCGAAGCTGGGCACCGAGTACAGGCCCCAGTGCAGGAAGATGCCGAACTTGGCCTCATCGTACCAGGGCGGGATCGGCCGCGTGTCCAGCGACTCCCAGGTCGGCTCGTAGCGCGCCAGCGCCGCCGCGAACAGCAGCGCGGCTACGCACGCGCTTAGCGCGGCACGCATCGCGAGGCGGCGGAGAGCGCGGCGGGAGGTGGCGCTTTCGGTCGGCGCGCGCACGCCGGGGAGACTGATAATCCTCCTGTTCGGCCGAGCGCCGGCCGCTCCGTTTACGCCCCCGCGCCGCCGTATCAGCAGTCACGTGACCGAGTCAGCGCGGCTCGGTATCGGTCACGGGACAGGGACATTGCGCTCTAGCAACAGACCGAACGGAGCACGAGATTGGCCAACGCCTGCAGAGGACGCGCAGCACTCTGCAAAGAGCAAGTGCGTGTTATCGCTCGAAACGCTCTAACTCAAGGTCTGCGTTCCTGGTCTTTATGTCGCGGCAACGACCTGATGTCGACCTTTGAACATCGTGGCAG